AATTAGAGTACAATTTTTGAGAGAGGCCTGTTCCAGGACTAGTGTCTAATTTTAGACAATCTTCCACTTCACGATTCCCAATGACGACCAGAGAATCCTCGCTTTTCTAATGTCAGTACTTCCTGCAATAAAGCAAAGAAATAATAGGAGGAAAAAAAAAAAATGCCCTTAAGAGCACAACGCTTTCAGTCCTTCCCAAAGCACGGACTGCTGTTTGGCTAACAGCCTGCTGGCTTTGATTAGAAAAGCACAAAGCTGGCAAACACAATCGACAGACTTTCCAATTACACAACCTCCTCCCACTTTCAAATTGTGTCCCAGAGAGCTGGACAGAGAATCCCCCCCCGGAGAAATACCCTGTTATGCTTTGCTGGCATAAAGACGATCAAATGCAGCAGGACTTACACAAATTACATACATCTCCTTCCTCCATTCCTCATCTACAAAACAGGACAGCAGAACCTCCCCATCTCAGAGGACGCTCAAGGGTAACCACAATAAATAATCTGAGGTCCTCACATCTTGATGTATTAAGGCTTGCAACTCCTAAACAACAAAAAATATATTAAAAGCTCTTCTAATCCCATAGATTGTGTAAATAAATTGTTTTAGTTCTGACAGGGATGCAATTTAACTAAATTTAAAAAGTATAGCAAAGGATGTGTCAGCTTACATGGAATAAAGATACCGAGACCGTGCTACAACACAACGTAATCCACACCAGGGAAGAGCTTGCCTGTCTGTATCACCCAACGGTTTGAAAGGCAGTGAATTCCCCAGAGAAAAATAATTGTATGTGCTTTTGGACTGTGTACAGAAAACAAAGAGACTTCCTGGTAATGCGAAAAAAAGCAAGCTGGTCAGAAATATTACAACTTTATACAAAGAATGAGATGTACAAAGGTTTCCCGTTGCCAGGAGGGCTACCCAGCACACACAGCATCTCCGCTAATTTGACAGGCCATGACTGAAATGAATCCCTTCCCCATTACAGGGAGCAGAAACCCAGCTTGACAACATTAGCGGTTTGACTACCTGGGAATGTAATTGCTATTGACATGGTGCGCGACAAGCAAGGAGGGGGCAAGGAGGGGAAAGGCGGCCTGATGCTGTGCCAGCCCCCAGCCTGGCCTTACAGTGCAGCAGAAGCATCGCGGTACGGCGTAGACGGCGTAGACGTATCCTCGCACATCAGACTCATCCTCGCACATCAAGTCCTAGGAATACAATCAGACATGTTGCAGGCCCACCCAGTGGAGAAGCACGAAACAGCAAGCCTCAGTTCCTCCATTCCTTCATCGTTGGTTAGGATGCAGCATGTAACATTAACAGCAGACAATCCAAAGCATCTTGGTGAAGACAAGAGACTGAAAGGTTGTCCAGGTAAGTCATAGTGAAAAGATGCGCTCTTTTTTGCAAACCCTGCTTCTGTGGTATAACATATCTGTTGTACCGCAGAGCACTAACTGTTCTTTTAGCTAATGTGGTTCCTAAACAATGGTATTGATACGACTTAATGCACCCTGAGTGCATTAGCAGGTGACTGTCTCCCACCGACTGCTCTCGGGCTGTGACCCAGCCCAGCCTTCGCACCACGAAGCGTGCGCCCAACCGCAACCATCGGTCCCTAGAGGAGCCAGAGCCCCAGTTCCTTCGTGTATGGATTATCTGGTGAAAATGTCCTGGTGCTGATACCTGGAAGTAAGCCTAAGGCTATTTCAGCGTCTTGTTACAGACCCAAACAAATGGCCTCTACAGTAACCAGCCCGGACTGCTCAATTCCAGGGAAATAAGGTAATTGTTTTGGAGAGAAGGCAGTGCAAAGCATGAGCGATGCTGGGGCTCCCCAGGATGCTCCTCTCCAGCCGTGAGGATGGAGGAACATCTGGCTTCACACAAAATACCAAATCAGTCCCTGCTCCCTGGGGCTTCTGAAAGTATTCATCCATCACTAAACAAGGATCAGCCCCTCAAGAACAGATGCCAACACGAGCGCACAGATGAAAGGCATAAAAGCACAGAAAAACCATGTTTTTTAGTAAAGGACGTGCCATGTTATTTGTTGATACTTACAGAAATGTTGCCTATAGAGACAAACTGAACTGCAGGCAGCAGCTGCCTCATAGCAAAACAAGTGACCTGAAAAATAAAGTCACTGTCAAAACATTGATGAACTGGGACAAAAGAATGGGCAAACTGGGAAAGGTAACTTTTAAGTTTTGTAGAATAGGAAGTAATTTCAAGATTGGGCGTGGTAACAAAAGTGGTTTTAAAAAAGCAACACCAGCATTCATATTTGAGTGCTTTAAGCTGAGTAACATGAAAATGTCAAGAGACAATGCAGCATAGAAGTAAGTAATGTTAGCACTTCATCTGAAAATTAGATGAGAATACTGATGTTAACAGTCTGTGGGGGACAATTCAGATTTAGAAAGTGAAAACTAAATATGAAAGGTAGATGTGGGAGTAAAGAATTACAGCATACAACCTTGTCATTCTATGTGATGGCAAGATTAAATCGTCTGAAATGTAACTAAAATTGAAGCGAGATCTAGGACAAAACATTATTACAGAAGATCAATGGAATTGATTTTGGAAAGGTAATAAAGACGTCAATGGAATCACATTAATAAATGTACCAGAAATTTGGGATATTTAAGACTACCAGTCTAGACATAACATTGTGTTTTTATAAAGTCCTCTACGAATTAAAGTGTTTGACTTTCTACTCCCATCCACTTCTCCTGCCCCCAAGAGACCAGTTAGAAATTCATTGCTAAATTCTTCATAGTGTGAGCTGAAGAACATAAAATGCTCCTGAAACTCACTGGTCAAACCTCACTGCTTGAGTAGAATGTGTAATATCCTCTACTGCCAGAGCAAGGACTCTGTGAGCATATATATCTCAACAAATACCTTTTCATATGGTCTTTCCAAACTCAGCAGCTGTATTGCCAGTGCTATACTGAGACAAGCCAATTTTAATGTTTTTCCTGTGGACTTAGTTCGCTCGTGCTTTGGTGAGAGGAAAGGTTATTTGTAACACCTAAGAAATCATCCTGGAAGCTATCCACGGAATCAGCGCAAGCTTTAAGAAATGAAACACATTCGTGTATGCGAGGATAAAGTCAGTTAGTCCGCTTCACAAAAATACAGTATTTGAGCATTAGAACCTGATGTGCTCAAGGAAGTATGTGAGCTTCTATACTTGCTAGAACAATTTCGTATTTAATCAGGCCTCATTAGTAAAGGTAATCACTGTAATTTATTTGCACAAATACAGGACATCATGCTCCATCAGCAGGTAATGTTCTTCATTAAAAAGAGCCAAGAACTTTGTGCACCAGGGTAGATGTGGTCTACTAATCCAAAGAAATCAGAACTATTAAGTACGGGGTAAAACATTTTGCTAAATAAAATCAACTCACCACTTTTATTTAGGATGATAATTTGTAATAACACATCAAAGCAAAAAATTATCTGGGCTCTTGAATTTGCTTCTGGAAGGAAACTGAAGTTTCTTACGCGTGTGTGAGTTTTAAAATTCACTGTGACAGCCAGCTACAGTACACAATGCAGGTCAGAACAGTTTTGTGCAACAGTGTTTGGTTCTTAAAGGCTTTAGATTCACGACACCTCTCTCAACTCCCAGAGACACAAGCAAAAGCTGGCTCTGGCCAACAAAGGACTTTGTCAGTAACTTCCAGCGGCACCAGGAAGGTGTTTTTAGGAGAATGTGCAGAACTAAGGGTAGAGCAAACAAAAAGGTGTCCTGAGCCTTTGAAATGGTTCATTCACATATCACTAAAATGAATGCTTTCCTTTAAAAATGCATTTGCACGTCGAGTCTTACCAGGTGTTAATGTAATGGCTCTGCCCAGCGATTCAACTCCTGAAGTCTACGAACAGATCACTCCGTGGACATGACAGATGAACATCAGACTAACCCCTGTGGTAAATCCAATGAAATTAAATCCCTTGGATTAAATTGCTGAAGAAGTGGTAGTTATAATCTAGCACTTTGTTAGAGCTTTTTCATTTCCAAGGCGGGGGCAGGGAATTAGTATCTACGTTCCCCTCCCCAGTATAAGATAAAATATGCCTGTATCCTTCTCTTGCTTATTTTAAGAATTAGCAAGTGCTTACGTGAAGAACAACCATTTTTGCTTTCCCACTTCTTGCACTCTTGAGACTTCTTTCAAGCGACTGACATCACAAACTAGACTATACTTCTCATGCAAGATTAAGTATTTGCGAGTGAAGCAAATATCAAATCCACTAACTGAATACAGTTTTAAATACTATTTTGCTTCAATGTGAAAGTTTCTATTTTAGTAACTGAACTCCATTAAAAAAGAAATATTAGAAAAATCAAACACCTTTTTCAAAATTTAAGGAAAATTTAATCAATATGCCTTAAATTATTTTACAGGAACTACAATACTGACAAGCATAACATTTTCAAAATGGTGTTTTTCTTGGAAGTACTGCAAAAGAGATTACTCTTCATCTACTAGTATGTGCACCATTAGGAAAAGAAACTGTAGTTGAAGTCATCTTCAGAAATCCAAGTTAATATATAGCTACTTAGACATCCAAATGTACTCATAATTCAAGTGTGACAGAATTACAGATCCCTTTAACTTTTAAGCATCTGTTTTCTAATTTATAATTTAAGTACCTTAAATCCTGAACTACTATCACATCAAATGAACAAATAAATGAGACCAAAGAGCTTAAGAGTATATTTGTTAAAATACAGAAAATACTCTAAGAGCTTGTGTTCATTTGTGCATTTTGCTTTTGGTAAGAGAGGACAGGAAATAGGCTCCTTACTACTGCAGATTTATTCAGAGAGTACTCCAAATCTACAGCATCTGCAGTTCTGTTAACTTTTTTGGATAAAAATCTATTAATTTATAACTGCAACCCTTCTCCCTCCCTCCCTCCCCTAAAAAACCAAACCAAAACAAAAAAACTCAAACAAAACCAAACAAAAACCACAATCCTCAAATAAAAAAACCAAAAGTTACTTTTCTAAAGTTTTAGGAATGGGAGAGAAATTAGATTAACTTGATAAGCATGAACACTTATTAAAGCTATAGACACCTCAGGTCAATTGAAAACAGTATTCAAAGTCCTAAAAAAGTGAACATGAGACGTTTGTTTTCATTGTTCCAGATGACTGAAAACAGGTCTAAGTTTCACGACAGCAACACTATACAGTTGTTTGCAGCTGTTTATGGTCCAATTAAATGTTTCAAGTTGATGTTTTCATTTTGGCCCACTGGAGTCCAACAGTTTGGACAGTCCATTCAAAACACAGAAATGAGAGCAAAGACTCCATACAATAAAGCACAGGGGTATGCTACTAGAAGTTGTTGTCCTTCCATTGCTAAGGCAGAAATAAAGATTTTGGAAGCAGAAAAGCTGCACCAGCCAATGATTCCAGACGTGAGAATAATCCCCATCATTCCCCTGTAAATATAGAAACAAAAAGAGAATTCATGTAAGACTCCTGTATGTATGCTCATGGGAGTGGTAACTGGACTCCTTCTAACATCTTTTACAGATTCGAAGATGAATTTTAGCTTTTATATTTTATACTAAACAAAATGGTTCCAGTAGAGCCTTCAGAATGATATTATTCAATTATGACAGCATAAAAAAAAAAAATTAACTTTGTGCACATGAAATGTAAAAGTGGTGAGTAAAGTAACTGTAGCAAGTTCTTTCTTTTCAGTCCCTGATTTCATGTAGCTATAAGGAATCACAGTGATTTTCTTCTGTTTGTCAAACTCAAATTTGCATCTTAAATTATAATTACTTTCAGACTTTACAGGCATTGAGATTTGTCAAATTCAAAGCCAACTGAAAACAAACTTGATACTGTTATTTGAGTCTAAGTATTTAAAAGCTGTTAATTGACTTATAGATAAAACCAGTATTCACCTATCTTTCATCCAGTAAATACTCAAAGACTGTGGATATTTATGTTTTCACACTTATTACAAATTCCTGCCATATTCAAATTATACACAGCTTCATCACTGAATACAAAAATTCCTTTTAATAACTTCCTTCACCATCTCATAGGAGAGGAATCTACTACCAAATTATAAAGTTAAGGTACTTACTGCAATGAAAATACAATTGCGAAAGCAGAAAGGAGGATCATAGGAAGAAGACAGTACCCAAGGACACTGGCAACGCAGCCGAAGGAGACACCCGTCATGCTCATTAAATTCAGGAGACAAAACATCCCTAAACATCCAATTGCACTTATTCCATACACGTAACCAAACTGAATTTTACCAGCCTGAAAGTCAAGCAGAGTAATGCATGTTAGTTATCAGAACAAGTAATGCCTCCCATGAACAAAGGGATAAGGAAAGAAAGTTTACAGAGTATACAATCAAATTCAATAGGCAGTACCTTCCCCGCAACCTGAGATCCAGGACACCTGTATATTCTAGGCACCCAAGGGGCACATTCATTCTAACTTTACCTGTCTTGATGAACAGATTTTGATCAAATTGTTATTCTTTGATCAAGGCTGCAAAAGCCTATGAATTCCTTAAGGTTTAATCAACTAACTTCTCATGCTGATTGACTACTTGCGATAATAATCTTTACAGAACTACTGTATAAAGACAAAAAAAATTGTAATTCAGGAACAACTCCAGAGCTAAAGTCCTTTAATTTGTGACAGACTCTACAAAGTTATAGCACAATGCAAATTATAAAAAAATCCCAGAAACATTTGAAGCCAAGCTATAAAGCACTATATATGAACGGCAGAATTAACTCATGTAGATTTTTAAAAGTCAAAGGCAGAACTTTGCTTACTAACAAGTAAGCAGAAAGCACACATGCATTATTTCAAAACATATGTCTCTTATGTCATCATCTGCTTTTCTAACAATGAGATCAATGCTTCCATTATAACACCTAACAAAACGCACATGCTGCAACGGTGCGCACCCCGGCAGGAACACAGGACCGTGCAGTTACCAAACTGACAATGGTGCGTACCTTCGAGGTCTGTCTCCCGCTACTAACTTCCAAACTAAGTTTACTTATAACCCAGCTCTCTTCTTCCTCAAGTGCTAGAGAAAACAACCATATCTACTTTAATCTTTTTGCTAGGTTAAGCTTGTTTTCTTTCACTACTCTCAATGTATTTAAAAAATAAAAAAGAACACAGGAGAAAGTAATAATTTCTTAGGAAAAAACACTCAAATGTATTATAACCATGTTCATTAATTTTACTGGCCTAGTTTCCATAAATAAAGGTTACTTATTAAAGTAGGTTTAAAGTCCCCTTGGTACCAAAACACTGTGTTTTAAGTGTCGTAGCAATGTGAAATTTTGGGCAAAAATTAAATGCAGTGCCTGAAGACATTTAGAGAAAAAAACTGATTAAAAATATCAAAGCATTCAATGACAAGGAAGACTGTTTGTAGCCACTCTCATTTCATAATTGACACTTTCGAGTCATTAAAGCACAATCTTATTCCAATTAAGCTCAACTAAAAAAACCCATCAGGCTTCAACAGCTGCAGACCTATTAAGAAGTATAAACAATTTGAATGCAGGTTTACTTTAGAAGTGTTTTACCAGACTAACTCTTGATACTGAAAGTCATGTCAAATGCATCAGTACTTACAAAATCACTTTTTACACAAGAATTTTGAGTTTCCTTGCCTCTTGAATATCAGTAAAGAACAATGAATAAAGAGTATTGAGTAATGAAATACAATGAAACAAAAGAGAGAAATAATTTAAACACAGTAAGAGTTAAAAAGAAACTCCTACATGAAGAAATGAAATAAATATTCAAATATTTAATGTGTCCATCGTTCCGATTTCTGGTAAGACAGAAGGTAGCAGAGACACTGCAAAAAGACAAGGTATGATTCTGAAAGTAAAACATCTTAACCTATAAAAAAACCTCCAAACAGGTAAAAATCTGAGAACACAGGTCACACCCATTCCTGTAACAAAAGGGAGCCATATTCCCCCAAAAGCAAAGTATGAAAAGAAATATGAATTACACTGAAATAACTGACATGCAAAAACCAAGCACAAAGATTTGGATTCAAACTCCACTGAAGTGAAGTGAGAGTGCACTCACTAGTTTCAACTAGCAGCGTGTGAAGCCCCAGTTCCTCTTCCATATAGCTACAAATTCTTGGTCAGGATGCGCTTTTTTGGCCCCCATGCCAAGATGTCACTTCCAATAAACCTACAGGTAACTTGGCTTTTTTCCCAGTGTTTCCAAGAATATTAATGCAAAAAACAGTAATATTTTGAAATCAGCATCTTACCAGTAATAATGTGGCTCCGAAAGCTAGACAGAAGACCATTGGTCCAGCCAAATCAGTCTCATTCATGATGCTGCCATCTGCTACTTTTAACGGGTGTAGCACTGTTAGTGTCTTCTGCCAGATGTGGTCAAAATTGATCCCCAATTCTACAAGTTACATGGAAAGAATTATGCATATTTATTTCAACTTTTCCCTTCCTCTCACCCTCAGTTGCTTCACTCTTAGTTTTCCCTGCCTCTCCACTTTTAAATCTCCTCCAGATTCTCTGGTCCCAATAGGATGTTATCGAGTCATTCCACCTTTCCTCAAGCTGCTGAGCGTGCTGCCTCCACAGATTCCAGGTCTCAAATGCTCAGAAGTGACAAGGCAGTTTCTAAAGGACCAGGTAAGAGCATAAGCACAGTGTTCTGGGTCAGCCCAAAAGTTCATTTAGCCCAGTACCCTGTCCCTGTAAGTGGCCAAAAAGCAGGTATGGATGAAAGAGTATAAGGACAGAACATGGATATTCCTCAACTCTCCAGTCACTGGTGGCTCAAGGATTTCTAATTAAAAGTAGTTTCTCCGTACTCGTAAACCAGCCATTGAGCCCACTAAAAAAACACCACACCCACCCCTTTTAACACTCAGTGTCTCACCACAAGGAGTTTCACAGCTCCCTCCAGCTAGATATGATTTCAAGTCTCCAGCCATACAGTTTGACCACAGCTGTGCGTCAAAACCTAGTTCTGAACGCAGTTACTATTTGCGCACCTCAGGCTCTGCAAAGCATCTATGTAAACAAAATAATTTTTTGAAGAATACAAAAAAGGCACAGCAGGTACCATGAATAGGTGATGGGTATCACGAATACCTCCCTCTCTAACCAGTAAGGGTTTCTTCAGTTGTTTGGTACTGAACAATGATGGATATAAGCTGGAAACTGAACCCATCAATCCAGACACTAACTACATATCCGTTCTGGCATTCTGCACAGGCTGTATTCTACATAGGCATTTCTGCAGTGTTTAGCATTCCTCTTTAGCAATGAAAGATTTCAGTTCTAACCAAAGAATCAACTGAAACTGACTGCATCGATTTATTTTACAAAAAGTGGGCAATTATAAGTATTATTAACAACAACAGAAATATTAAGTGTTTCGTCATAGGCACTGTATGAAGTCAGGGTATCCATTTAATTGCTTACATCTTCCATAGAATAGCTGATATGAAGTAATAAAGCACAAATTTAAAACTGCAGTTCACACAAAAACATGTATTTCATATATCAAAATACAGTTAACTAAAAAACTTAATGACAATTTCAATTCCACTGTGCACTTTCAGAAGTAGCGAATACACACCCTGCTACGCAACTTATCCCCAAACTGGGAACAGTTTTGGATTTTGGCCATAAAGCACAAGTTATACCTTCTAATAGAGGAGGCTCATCCTCAAAATTACTTCCATAAAAAGACTGTGCTGAAGTTGGAGTGTATGTCTGTGTTGGCTGGTAAATCTGCCCTGTGTAAGGCTGCTGCTGCTGCATCATGTCTGGAGGGACAAATCCACTTTGTTGAGAGTATTCATAGCCTCCATACTGCCTAAAAAGAATGATATCACATTACGGACAGACACAGAATTTTATTTTAAACACCTCCCTGCAAAAGTAAAGCTTAGTTTCAGTAAATAAGTCACAGCAAACAATCCTTTCTTCTTTTTTAAAAAGTCACATTAGATGATCTGCTACTCAGATCCAGGCCCTTTAGGCATATAGCCACATCCGTCAACTCAAACCCTTATAAACAATACAATGTTAAGCTAAACAAGATAATTCTTGCTATATATGCTAGTATTGCTTTTTGGTTTTAAGTCAGAGGCCTGGAGAAATGCACATTATCCATTGACTGAATTACTACTACAAGCTGTAGACCTGTAAAACAGTAGGAAAATTTTACATCTCAGAGTTATTCAAATATTGTCCATTAATTACTACTGACATCTCATTTGATGCCAGCACTAATTTGCTATTTAGAATGTTTATTTGCAAACTCACTATTAGAGAACAAAGTTGTTCACACTATCACTTTTGGGTTAAAAAAAAAAAAAGTTGTTTTTCCCCTTCGGTTGGGCACCGCATGTATCAGGTAGCATTATGACATATAAGAAGGCATTATGATACAGATATTAAACATATTATGACATCTACCTAGAGGACATGATGCATGGGAGAAAATGGGCAATTTTTCAGTTTCTATTTCATGTATTCTTAATTAATTGCTAACAAATCAATTTATACTGTCTTTGGAATACTTTCCATTACAGATTTTATATGTATAAAAATATACATTGCTATCTTTAAAACAACAGCTGAATCAAAGCTGTCCTCTGTTCTAAATAAACTCGTCAGTTATTCTTGCCACCAATGATTTCCCAGTTTGACTACAGAGATTACAAGTAAACGTCTCCAAAATATTTAACTATGGAAATATAAATATAAAGAAGGAAAATCCAGAACTTATTCTCCTTTCTTTCCTTGTACTTGTAGAGTTCAGCCTCATCACAGCACTGTAATCCTTCTCAGGATGCAAACAGGATCTATCGCAGGGATCACACAGGTCACGTAACTGACCAAAACCCTCAGCCTGTGACTGGATATTCACACAGGACTCCTAAGAGCTCCCCTGACCTAGGAACGTCCACCACACTTCCCTACTAAAGCCTAGGAATCACCATTGACATTGCCAGCTCATTTATATGACACTGTAACTAACTTTTACTCCCTGAGTGTCTGGAGACGGACAAAGGACAACAATATTTCTTTTCCCAAAGATGTGAAGATTATTTGCATAATTAAGATTACCCATATAACCTTTCTTTCAATTTTCTAATCTTTGCTATAAAATGGAGAAGGCAGAGTAGTCAACATACAACTGCTTTCTCTCTCCATTTACAGACAGCAAGTTACACTCTTCATAAAACAGAGCAACAGTAGTTGGCTGAAATGCCAACCCTTTCCTGAATAAAGAGACTATCCCAGAAGTATCTTAACACAGCTGGTAGCTATAATAGTGTTCACTACAGGAGTGTGACTGGATGGCTTTACACAAGACACACATTACACAAGTTCAAAAAGCATGCACAAGTTACTTGCTGTACGGTCTTCCACTGTAATCATAGGACTGTGTCTGGTCATCAATGCTGTAACTCGTCTGGAAGAAGTCTGTGTTGAAGCTGTCAAACCCAGACATCGCAAATTATCTGCAAGAGAACAGCAAGGTTTGGTGGGGTCTCCAAACCTATCCTGAACGGCAGCGCTTCAGAGAGACCGAGCAGCTCTGTCCGCTCGGGACCCGGCCGGTGAGCCCTCCCTCCGGGCCGCCCAGAGTCCCGAAAGCGCAGAGGCCGTTTCGGGAGCGCCCCTCCCCGCCGCCCTCTCTCAGGCCAACGGCAGCTGCGCCG